ATAGTGTGAGTTTGGTTGGTTGCAATTATGTCGTGCATGGGATTTTGGTTTAACGGCGCTGCGACGGTGAGATGATTAGCTGAGAAGGGTGATTCGAAAGACCATGGCGGGCTCTCCAATACTCTTTCGCTTGCAAGACGTAATAGTCTAGTTGCTAGAAGGCATAGTGAGGACGACTCGGCTTTGGGGCCATCTTCCCAACCGGACTTTGTGTGCAAAATCCGTTGTTCCACACCAATGAACACCTGATTATCACGCCATACACCGTATCCACAGCGCCCGTTGACCTCTAGACTTGCCTCCACTACGCCCACCTCACCGCCCGTGCAGGCCCAGCCCACTGACTCATGCGACCGTCTCCCATCTCAAACATGTCACGCCTGACGACCCGTATCATATCAGCCCGCCGCCCCCGTGCCTAGGACCCTTTTTTGTTTCACCACCCCAGCTGCAGAGCACTGCCAAGTGCTTGTGCCTGATATCTGAATTCAAGGTGCATGTACATGCTGTTTTGCTCGACTGCCGCTATAGATGGATTTCCGCGATAAGCGAAAAACGGATCCTCCAAGTGCCGAAATTGCTGGTGAGAGCGAGTGACGGCCGATAGAACACGGGCCATGTATAGAACTAGTATGATATTGTAGAGATACGCGAAATGTGGAAATTACTTTGGCTAGATCTTTGATAGAGAGGAAAATATAGAGAAAAGGGGAAAGACTCATGTACCGAAGAGGTAAACTCGACGTTGCATTCTATGCATTTCCTTAATACAGTAATCTTCTCGTTCCACGAAAGAAAAAAAAATAGTAAAAAAAAAAAGAGGAGCGGTGGATACAAAGTTCTGGTAGTATAGGAGAGAAGTGTTGCATGATCGGTGCGACTGCGGAACAATTTGTAGTCCCGAGAACCAAACAAACTCGTAGCCTATTGCTTGGTAGTACGCATTCAACACCACAGAGGCAAATTCTCTCCAACACACAGTAAACCATTCTCTCCAACTGTGTCCCTCATTATTGCCTTTCTCATCTACGCACAATACCCCAACCTCCAATCCATTGTCAACCGTTCTACCCCAAATCACTGGGTCAGGCCACCCCTTGCATCCCAAAAATCCTTCCCGCACCACGTCGTTGAGTGGGCGAACGATGGTCCCCAAGGCCACGGAATTGGGGCTAGAATGTTGAAGCAAGGGGGTGGCGGGGAAGCCTTTTCTGGCTGCGAAGTGCATACCCGGGACGAACAGTGCTGGGCAACTGGTTAGGAAGCGGAAAAAAGGCGCCCTGTTGCATATGCCTCGGGAAAGAAAACTGAGTGACATGGTAGTTCCGCGCCAGCGCAGCTAGCACCAAGTACCAGCAAATGCAGCACAAGCAGTAATGCAACAAGAACAAGTGTTTTGTCAGGTTGGAAACCAACCGTAATGTAGTCATGATTCTCTAGCGCTTCTTCTGCGCCTTTGGTATCTAAATTGAATCCGACTTTGCTTCAACCGTCGTCAAAACCCTATGAACAAGAAAAAACGCCTCTGCTTCCCAACTCTAAAAGACTCCTCAGGAGCGTGTTTGGGAGAAGCAACAAGAAAAGAGAAGCCGTAATGATACACGTCAATATAAAATAAGCCAGTATCAAAATCATACCCAGCCGGGCTTCGGTCATGATACACTCTTGATCAATGTCAAACTGAAAACGCCGCCAAATTACTCAGCACCAAGCCACAGTGGTGCATAAGCGTGAGGACGAGCTGTGCAACGCCCGTATGAATATCTAGTCGTTGAAAATGGGGAACGCCGAAAACAGAACAACCTCGCCGGGTCGTGAGCCAGTTGCGCCGTTGCATGCCGAGGACCGCAGATATGGAGAAAAAAGTAGTGACGCCGGTGGACATGCAGCCCAGTATGCATAATTCAAATGATGCAAGTCGCTCTGATTGCATCGTCGTAATCGTGTGCTTTTGAACATGGAAATGAGTGTGGGTGTGGTGGTGGTGGTGGTGGTGGTAATTAGGGTGCATTGGGTATGGCTCAGAAGAGACCTCCCTCAATGACGCCTGGCTCGTCGTCGCGGAGCTGGCTACCGCTCTTCTTGCGGGGCCATAGCTTGCTACTAACTCGCTTCCAACTATCTCTAGTAGCGCTAGCGAGACCATTGTGCTCTCCGCGGCTGTTGCGGGGGCTGGGGGTGCCGCTGCTCGGAGCATTGTCATAATAGGCATGGTGGAAGTCAGTCATGGGGTACTCGCTCACAGGCGGAGTACCGGGTGGGGTGAGGGGATCGCTCATGCCAGAGGGGCTGCTTGCACTACCCGAGTCATCGGTCAATGCATCGCTGCCGCTTGTGTAGCCCGAGGTGACACGGGTTGCCGGTGGCGGGCCTGATGACGTTGGCTGAGAGTGGAAGCGGGCATGAGAGAATGGGCGGGATTGCATGAAGCCAGAAGTGAGTGAAGATGGCGCAGATGCGCGCTGGTGGGCGGGGACTGGCGGGTGTGAAGCACGAGAGAGCATGCTTCGCTCCTCGTAGCTGCGGGTCGACGAGCGTGAAATGTTACTTCCAGCATAGCTGTCGTGGCCGATGGTAGGATGTGCGCTCTGTGGGCTGACCGAGTTGAGGAATGAGACCAATACACTCTCTTCCATGAGTTCGTTGATCTTGGCCACGGCACTGTCCAATGACGATGGGTGAGGAGGGACGTAGGAGTCGGAAAGGCTGAGCAGGTTGTCGCGGACCTCGGCTGGAAGGTTGACCTGGGGTTTGGTTAGTATTTTGGTGGGGGAAGGAGCGGTCGTGGGGAACAGTTGCTTACTTCGCGCGGGCCTGACTCGCGAATGTAGGCATCGATCAAGCGACGCCAGAGCATGAGGACGTAGGCGCACTCGTCAGACAGCGGTGAGATTGGGCTGCCAGGATGGCGGCTGACCATCTTGGAGTAGTGCTTGCGGTAGCGGGAGGCATCCATTGTGAATTCGAGATTCTCAAGGCAGTGGTTCTGGGAGAGAAAGGCCATGAAGGAAGTGAGGGTGTATGGGGGAGGGGCGGTGTTGTTGAGTATCTCTGCGAGGTTTGGTTTGCGGCATTGTGGGCTGGGAATGTTCTTTGGAATGAAGACGGTCAAGGGCGCAGGCTGGGCATGGTGATAGTCGGTCATAGCCATGTTGGAATGGTGGCCGTCAAAGTCGACGGGGGAGCGGGCGGGGGAGCTCGAGGTGGTCGACGACGTCTTTATGGACAGGGCGTGTGCGGCGGGCTTCCGGGTGACCATGACGCTCTTCCAGAATTGCTTGTAGACACGGCGGGCGTTGTTCCTGCTCTGCTCGTCGAAGCCGTCGCAGGGACAGAGGTGAACTTGTTGGGCCAGCTTGACGGCGGTAGGGCACTCGGTTCAGCGAGAACCTAGTGTCGACAGGCCAGCGGGAGGGTGGGTGGATTAGGACGTCGACGGCAGCAGCATCGAGGGCTGGATTGGTGGAGGGCGGGCGGGCGTGCTTGTATAGTGTGTGGGTGGGGGTGAGTGTGTATGTGTATGTGTGGTGGTGGTGGTGCTAGTAAGACAGGCAGGGCGGTGGATGTGCGTCAGGACAGGACGTGGTGCATCTGCGGCTCAGCGTGGTTTTGAGCGAAGCGCCGTCGAGAGTCAGGGAGCCGGTCGCTGGCGTCGCTGGGCCCATGCGTGGGCAGAAAGCTCAGTCAGAGTGCACGGGCCCGTCCCCACCCAGCGGTTTGGCCATCACGGAGCATGAGGACAGGACGGCTTCGTCTGCTAAAAGCGGCCACGCGCGCCTTCCCTGCCATTGGCCGCCGCTGCCTTCTGGAAGACGCACGCCCACCCCAGCACCGCTGCACCGCACCACCACCACCACCATCCCGGCCGAAACTGCGCGCCCCCTCGCCTGCTGGCGCCCTGCTCCACCATTCGCCACGTCCGATGTGGTCATGGTGCTGCTGCTGAGCTTGTCTTGTGTACCCGTCCCTGTATGTGCGACTGCTAATGCGACGCCCGCTGCTCCTCGCTGCCTGCCATGGGATACTACCACTGCTGCCATCATCTCACTCCATCCTCACTCCACTGCTCCCCACCCGCAGTCCCGTGACTGCTGCACAGAAGGAAAGAAAAAAACCAAAAAGAAAACCAACCGGCATGCTGGGCGACGACGCTACCCTCTGGCCTGCGCCGACGGCGTGGTTGCCAGTAGAGTAGTACCACTGCCACTGCCACTGCCTGCTGCAGCCCAGCACGGTTGTTGTTGTTATCTGACCCCAGCAGCCTTGTCCGTCGTCGGCTGCTCTGTCGCTCCGCCGCCGTCATCCTCTTTCTCTTTCTCGCCCTAATGTCCGCGCCCTCGCTCGGCCCTTTTCTCTCTCCAAGCATCAAAGGCCTACTACACCATGGCCCCGCCGTGTCGACTCTTTCCTTTTGCAGTCACATTGTTGCGCGTACACCCGCTGCTAGCTGTCTTGGTTGCCGCGGCCGCCGCCTCTCCACATAGATAAAACTACTAGCATGTAGACAGCTATGAGCGTGGATGAGTGAGATGAGCAGCAGCAGCAGCAGCAGCAGCAGTATGCACGCCTGAGGCCTGAGGCTGCCGCTCGACGGCAAAACGACGGCCGCCGCTCGACTCGCCCGACGGCTTCACTAATCCACCCTATGACTCTGATGACTCTGCCACATGCCCATCCTCTATATACACTGACTCTTGGTGGACGTACTTATGTCGGTACTTGTCGTGCTTTGTCCATGAGCCAGCCACACAGCAACTCACTCGCGCACTCATCCACCCGACTCACCACCGCCGTCGACACGCTTGCCAACGCCGTCGCTGGTGCAATGCAATGCTCGCCTTGGGCCTCGTCACCCACGGCCAATCATGCCCACCCGCTCCCCTCAGACAGGCGAACGGGCCGTGCACGGCCATAGTCTTGGCATTGGCCCTATGCCTGGGGACAAACGCGTCCCTGCTCACACGTCTGGCCGGGAGCCGTCTCCGTATAGCCACAAATACCTGACACAAGACAATCCTCAGCCATCCATGATCCGCACGCTGTCTCTACTACTACGCAATCGAGGTTCCAGTCTGCTGCCTTAGTGCCTCGACTATGTACTCTTCTAGATGCCATTTTCCCCTCCTATCCTTAGTGTATACGTTCCCCCTCTGCTGTTCATGCTTTCCCCAAACCCGTTCTCTCTCTAGACTTCCATGGCCCTCCCTCCGCCGTTGTCCGTTGCGGTCCGACTCTGGCTTTTTTTCCTGCTAGCTGCCATCATGTCCTCCTACGTAAACCCACTTGGTCAGACCACACACCGCTTACCCCTGCCTGCTCACCTTCTGCTCTGGCAGCCGTGTCATCGAAGAAGACTTCTCGAAGCTTTGTGCTTTTCCAGAATCCTGCCTGATGTCGTTTAGGGCCGTCTGCCCGCTCTTGCCTGTCGATCCATCGACCATGCCGCATAATACCCGGCATAGTAACAGCAATGCCTGTCATCTCATCTTCACCTCGGACAAAGCCCACACACCCGACGCATCCTTATGCTGTTGGGATGCTGCTTCGGCCTATCTCGCGAGCCTCTTGTCGCTGCTGTCGCACTTTGCACCTCCTTGCCTGCCTGATTGCTTGCCTTGTTTCCACTACCTGCCGTGTTCGCACTTGCTTTGCGCCTCGCCGCTTCGTGTTCCCTCTTTCCGACAATAGCCGACTCAACGATTCAGTCCTTACCCAAGTTCCAGAACTTCCTGCTACCGAAAATTTTTGTGTTCCGCCCAAACAAAGACAAACTCGGCTCAGTAGCCCCAAGAGAAAACTTGCCATGACGTAGCTTGTGGAGCGCTTTGTTCTCGTTGGTCCCAAGTCGGAAAGAAATTGTCTCTCATCTTCTCTCCGCTTCACCGCTTCGTGGCGTTTGCTTTTTTTTCTTTTTCTTCTTCTTCTTTGCCTTTGGCTTCCCCATTTCTCACGTCTGTTCAAGCACCATGGATGAAACCAAGTGGCTGACTTGGCATCCATGTGCACACACTTACGTTCGAGCCTGATGTCGGCACGGCTTACCCTCTCCTTGCATATGGTGGCGTCGACTATTGCAGAACATGGCTGCTTTTTTCCCTTTCACTTGCTCTTGCTCTCTGTCCCGCTGGAGCCTCTCAGCCGTGGGCCTCCCTTTCCCAACGACCACGTTTTCGGGAAAAGCAATCTGGACTGCACCGGCCGGTTGATTGCAAATAATATACCCGTCTTATATGACCGTGTCAGCCGTGCGTGGATTGATGATGTTGCATCGCATATTCGTCAAAGTGGAACCTGAGGCCCTAAGCACGGGAGAGAGAGAGACAGAGACCGAAAGAGAGCAGAGGCTGATTCTTGCATTTCAACTTTAACCTACTAGGCTCCTTTCAAAGAGCTTGGACCGCAATCATCTCTCTCTGTCTCTTTTTGATTTTCCTTTGATGGTGATGGATCCGCCGGATCAGAAAGGCCAAGTATATTTGAAACCGGCCCAGATGGAGCGCGCTGACACCATTCCTCTCCAGGCACGGGTCATGTGCGGATGTGCGGGTTAGTTAGCAAAATATTGGATTAACAATAACCCCCATCTGGAGTAGAGTGTAGAGAAGGGGGGAAAACAAAGGCGGCAAAAAGGCGACATGTTGACGGTCAATCAAACATGCTTCAAACATATGTCTCGAGCCACATGTCGGCGTCGATCCTATGCGGCCAGTTCGAGCCTCGCTTCCCCCCAAGCCGCGCGTGTGATGACAACCATGATGGAATCCACCTGACTAGTAGCCGAGCGACGTTTTATCTAGGCCGCCTGTAACACGTCTGTGGAATCGCTCGAGCTACCTGTCTCCTCGGAACATGACTTTCGTGGGGACTCCCATGCTTCCCACGCCCTTGGTTTGTTTCACACTTTTCCTAGGAGTGTGGGACAGACGGGGTGGAGGGTTGCTCTAACTACTGTAGTATACCAATAGTTCAAATGCTCGTTAATCGGAAGTGCATGGCCCCGTTGATGAAATCTGCAGCCGCATCCCAGCCTTGGTCTCGAGTGCGGCAACATCAAGATTCCATCCTTTGGCCCTCATTTCATCGCCGTATTTGTCAAACATCCTCCGCACCTCGTACAATGTATCTTTCAGGTCACCCACCACCAACCCATGCTTTGCTGCCGCCTTAGCCGCCCTAGACGCTACTACACACCCCGACTTACCCCCTAACCCACCTCTTGTTCCTCCACTATCACCACCACGTTGCCTTTTCTCCGCAACAAGCAGTGCATGTGCCCACGCCCTAAGCTGATCAATCGGTCCGCACCCAGCCTTGAGCACGATGACAGCTTCGTAAGCGGCAGGTCCCCCAGTCGCCCAAAGCACGTAATCCTCGGCCTCGAAAATGCTCAGTAAATCGAATACATCGACTTCGCTTCCGTCATCACCGCCGCTGCTGCAAAACGCCAGCGACCCGCTCAGCTTATCACGTCTACCAATCCGGCCTAGCAGTTCCGACAGAGAGGTACCAATCCTACACTTTCCAAGTACCTCGTCATCTGCCCACCGCAGCACGCCACCTCTTTCAAAGATGCGCTCACGTGCAGACACCTCTTTAGGGTTCAGCACTATTCCGTGCTGCAAAATGTGACTGAAGAGAATATTGGCTCTCTGTCGATTAAGCGATTGCATGCTGACGGCTCGCACTGCAGCGTAATTCGTAGCCAGATGTATGGCCAAGAGCAGTATAAGCGTGCACCAAGTTGCTAGATCAGATGTGATGTGCGATACCACAAAGCTCCCTGCCTGCATGTAATCGTCCGTTGTTAATCCAGCATTTTACTTTGTCTTTTTCGTCCGTTCAGGACTTGGAATAAACGAAGGAGAGAGTGAGAGAGATAAGATAAATGAGGATAAGTACTTACCAACATGCCTAGCAAGGATATGACTGTTTCCTGGCTGGAATCTTTCTATTGAAACTCCCGTTAGCCCCGCAGGTATAGCTCCGTATAGATGTTGCTGTTTTAACAACCCCTGGTTGAAGTTTCTCCCCATGACCCGGATTCTACTAACTCCATTTGTTGGAGACGGCTTACTATCTTTCTTGACTCGTTGCTCTCCCGTTTCGTTCTTCCAGCTTACCCGGCGATAATTGAGAGGAGACGATGAAACCTATCAATACACGACGTGTGTTCGATCGATTAAGAGAGCAGAGAAGAAGAAAGACGAAGGGGTAATCAAACTTACGGCATTGACTTCTCCCAAATTCCCCGCAGTAGCAAAATGCGCGCTCAAACTCGCCTTTGAGCTCCCCGCACAAACACCACACAACGACCTCAGGCAGCTCGCAAAGCTCAAGACAGCTACCCGCAGCGGCTTAGGGAACCCGGGACTCAAGCAGTCGAGAATCATGGCCGAGTCATTCAAAATGTCCGCGGTAAGACGGTACATTTTGCACTCTGGCTCAAGTGCAGTGCCGAACCGATCCGCAAAGGCTATTGTTGCCATGCGGCCCACGGATTCCTGGAGGACGGAGAGGAGCAGTGCGGCCGTGGGTGTGGCATTGGAATCGCCCACTCCCACGCCTTTGGTGAGTTAGAAACGATATTTGAGCGTGAGAGATATGGATACAAAGGATAGAGTAGAAGACAAGAATGGAAGAAACGAACCTTGTAACACCGCCCTCGAAGCCAACATACCCGCAATCGACGACGAAAAAGCCTGAAGTGAATCCTGTGTATATTGTTATTCTATATCCTATATTCACCACCTGCACATCCTTATCCCCTAGTTATCATCTCTTCCTCATCCTTAACCCCACCCCTCCGCACGCGGCATCACCCTCAAGCAGCAGAGAAAAGGAGACTTACAAAAACCTGATACTCAATATAATCCTCCGTAACACTCTGTGGAAACCCACTCGGCAAAAACACATCAATGATATACTGGAGAACGCTCTTGTGCGCTTGCTTGGGTACCTACACATCATGCAACTCATCAGCAAACTACCACCACAACAGCAACATCCAAATAAAGAGTACTTTTGCACACCCCCCCCCCCTTCCCCCGCATTAACCAGAATGAGATGAAGAAGGAAAGAAAAACACGTACAATCACATCAACCCTCTTACCCTCCCCATGCTTTCCATGCTCACCTACTGCTGACGAGGAAGAAGATAAAACATAGGTTCGAACCACCTTCCCCGCCTCATCCTGCTCACTCATTTGAGCCAGGATAGCGGGTTGAAGCGACATTTTTTTATGTCGCTCTTGCTTGCGCAATTGTTTTGGTGTGGTTTGGTTGGCGGGAAAGAGGTGGATGGATGATGCATTGGGTTGGGTTGGGGCGGGTGAGGGCCGTAGTAGTAGTGAGGTGGGGGGAATGACCCGGGGTTGTGGTACTGGGAACACGGGGAGGTTGGGTGAGATGTGGATGTTGGGAATTGCGCGCGTTGAGGGGGCTTAGGTGAGGATAGGGGATGGAGGAGGCCGAGGGGTTCATTTGTTGTTCATGTGTTTTATTTTGGGGTTATTGAGGTTGTGATGGGGTTATGGTTGGTGTTGGTCGCTTCACTTGCTATCATTTGTGCGTCTGCAGTACAAGAAAGGGATAAAAGTATATATGCATGTACTGATTCCAAATTCCTTTCTCAAGGTCTTTTCTCAATTAAAATAAAATATATAGTGATTGAAGAAGTTTGTGTACCTCTAGACTTACTACTGTAACTGTTAGCGAGGGAAGCAGGGTGTACAATACTCACACATACATTTCCATTGTGCTCAAATTCAGATCATTCCCATCATTCCCATCATTTCTAAAACCTATAGAATCTATCTACGGTTGAAAAAATATATATACTGCGCAAATGAACAAGCAACTGTGGACAGCCAGTACATACTCTTGGACACGTAAACATCGGAAGCATAAACTACGTCACCCTTGTCGAGTTTTTATACACATCTAATTTTTCGTTATACAGGAATAGAGTAATTGATATACTCGATATAGCAATTCAACTACATGTGATCATCTAAAGCTTTGAAGCTCTGGCCCCCAGAGTCTCAACACTCATATAGCTTAACCACGACACCCCCCGCCCCCAGAATGAGTGCCTTTTGGCACTCCATTTGCTCAATCGCCGTGACGTGAAGGGCAAAAGTGGCCCGTGAGACTCTGTCGTCATGCAGTCTATCTGCTTAGTCACGTGCTCAAATGCTTTCACAATAGTATATTACTTCACCTCACTTACCAAGCTCCCACACAAAAGAATCAAAATTTTCATCAAGCTTGTGCATCAAGTCTTGTTGAGCTTTCCTTGCTTTGCAACACCACCGTCCATCTCCCGTACTTTTGCACAGTCCTCGGTTCTTGCTCACGCGCTTTCGTGGTTACATATGCAATCTCAACAGAGTGAGTATTTATCGAAGCTTAACAGGCTTTTACTGAGAACAAATCACAGAGACGCTGTTGGAATGTAGTCTAAAAGTGAAGCCAACACCCCTCATCAAGCTCACAACAGTTTGATACCGCGTCTGAGTACAGCTTGCTGTCTCCACTCTGAGTTTTAGGGGGCAACTTCCTATAACTGTTCGAACCACGCAATAGTGCTATCACGGAACATCGAATGTTCTCGCCTCAACATAAAGATACGTTCATCGGCCGTCGCTTGTTATGTACAAACTCCCAAGCAATCATGGGACTGGCAGGCATTCATCCAAGGACAGCACTACTGGCAATTCAGTTACAGCTTGCCAACGTCCAGTCAGCTCTGCAAGAATTGAACGAAGGGGATGAGTAGAAGGCTTAGAAGATATTGCAGGATAAACTAGAACACAGTTTGTCACTCTTGCAAGACCAAGTCTTCGCTACAGGTCTCCTCGAAGAAGATCGAGACAATCAAGCTGTGATTACTGAATTTCTCCGAGAAGAGAGGCAAGCGGAAGAGGACCACGACCTCGCGTGTAGACTACGTGGTATTACTAACGAACATGTCCTGTTATCGAGGAGAGGCGACATGATGCAACCACTGAAGGCCGATCATAATAATAATAATAATAATAATAATAATAACAATAATAATAATGATGACCAGGATCTAAACCTGACACAAGGCGTGGACCTACCAACGAAGACATTAGCAATAATCGACGCTTACGAGCACATCAAACACAATACTAAATCAGCTCTCGCGTCGAACCATAATCTCTACAGCGAACCTAGCCCGTCCGAGTTCAAGGAAAAAGGCAAAGAGAAGGCAACTATTAACGGCGAGCATGCAACCCATATCTTATGTCCCATCTGTATGGAATTGCATTCGCGCTTCGATGCGCTCGAGCTTTCCTGCAAGCGCTCGACAGAAGACTCCGCTCACGCTTACTGCAGGACGTGCTTGAGTGACTTGTTTCACACTAGCCTGTCAGATACTAACGTTACAGATGGAGCTGATGACGCCGAATCTTGTACACTGCAGCAACCGAAGTTGTGCCAAGTTTATCAGGCCTTGTGATATCACAGCTGATATTGCAGTATGCCAAGCGTGCCAAAAGGAAACCTGCGCCATTTGCCAAAATCCAAGGCATAATGGGGTGTGCCCGAAAGATCCATCAATTCAGGCACTGATAAAAGTGGCTACTGAAGAGGAGTGGCAGTGGTGTCCTAACTGCAGAACAATGGTCGAGCTAAACCGTGGCTGGAGGATTTGAAATTGCCAACGACGAAAACGCAGACGAGGATGTCAAACAGTCCTCTGACGAATCTGGCCACCGGCGGTTACGAACATATGCTGAGGACGGTGACTACAAAGTGTGTGGAATATGCGATTATCATCTCAGGTTTGTAAATCGTTGTTTGAAATGCAGGACGAAGATTTGTAATCGGTGTCGGAATAACAGGCTCTGAACATACTCGACTCTGCTAAGAGACTATATTTGCCCAGGAGAATCAGAAAGCAGAAAGCCTTTAATCTTTTGTACTTGTTTGGCATGTAATGTATCAGAGTACTTTTCTCAGAAAAGAATGGCAGGTTCCACTCTAACCTGCCGGAATCAGGTATCAAAGAAGGGTAGTAGGATAAAGAGCTATCATAGCATGATTTCTGAAAAGCTCGCCATAGGCAAACCCCCTAATATGATACCGTCACTGCCTATGTATTTAATAATAGTCCGAAGAAGTACTTGGCTGAATGATGATACTGAGATCACACTGTTTCTACTATTGTTGTTTCTGATTATGATCATAATTACGTGATCTATGCCTGAGGTCCTATCACCGGCCTCCTTTTACCACAGCCCATGTCTCTTTAACAAGGCAACTATCGTATTCCTTTGCTCTATGAGTTACATACCCTGTGCTACAATGGAGCTTATACCGAACACCCAGATGTATTAAGTATTTGGCTGGACTCAGACGCCCGTGCTCTGCCGCCAGAGACCAGGGTGTTCGTCTGTGATTGTCAACTAAATTAGTTGCAGGACAACCCGCCTCCACTAACCTCTCTATAGTAAGATTCCCAATCACCATCCAAGACTCCTAAACATTCCCATGTCACCAATTCATATATGCGTAGTTATGTATAATAGTATTTATCTTTTTTCATTCGAGAGTCCAAGCGAAAGGCTCTCTCCATGTGCTCGAAATTTGATATATAATCAAGTGGGTATCCGTGTTCTCAAATAAAGTACAAAAAAAATTAGAACAGAAAAAGAAAAAGTATCCTTCTTCGCCTCTATATCCAGAGAAGAAAAGTTGAAGAAGGTTTTCCTGTCCGTAAGAAGCACATTTTTCCCACCAAGAAAACAAATATGCTCCTGTATATTCTCCACACATCCCCCTCGACGAGAGGAGTATTCAATGTCGAAAGCGCCGGAAGGTATGCAAACAACGATACCCAACCAGGCAAATGAAAGTTGACTTTTTTTCTCCCTCAACACCCCAATCGAATTCCCCCCCTCAAGGACCAAAAAATAAAGAGGAGAGAGGGGAGGAGAGAAGGAACTCAACTATCCTCACTCCCCCTCCGCCACGCGCCCACGCGCCCAAACTTGACCTTCCCGCCCAACCGCTCCACCTCCTCAACCGCCAAATCGCGCTGGCGCTCCAGCTCCTTAATGTAATCAATAGCAACAGCAAGCACCATACTCTTACTCGGCTTCACGCCTCCAGACTCAGACGACGCACCGCTCTGTGGCAAAAGAGGCACCGCCTTCCGCAACCGTTCGAGCTCCGCGTTGAGCTTCTCACGGTACTTGCGCTCGACCTCGGTGTGCGGCATGCACTGCGTTCGGGCGTTCTTGGCGGGGCTGGTGCTACCAGTGGCTGAGGGTTCCGAGGCCGGGCGGTGGATGCGAGGGCGACCGCGCTTGCGGGGAAGGGGTTTTGAGATGGGGTCCTGGGGTGAAGGGGTGGGATTGGTGGCTACTACGGGGGACAGAGAGGCGGGGCTGCCGTGGTTGCTGGGGGTGGGCAGGGGCGAGGGGACCGAGGGGAAGGCTGACGTGGTGTACTCGGGGGATATGTAGCCGTTCTGGAAGTCGCCTGAGATGCTGAGAGGGGTGGGCACGCCGGTTTGCCACATAGGAGCGAACTGGGGACTCGTGGGTAGGCCGTGGGTGGCGGGTGGACAAACTACAGTGGAGGAGGTGGTCATGAAGCCATTGGGTAACGGGGCGTTCCAGTTGAGAGAGTTGGTGGTATCCACCGGTTCGCTGGGCCGAGTGAAGCAGGGGCCGCTGGTGCTGTCTAGGCTGCTGTACTCGGATAACGAGGGATATGAGTCTCCGTAGCAGGGAGATTCGAGGTTGTCTGGAGATGGAAAAGTATCACTCTCTGGAGGAGAATACGTCGGATCTGGTCCTGCGGTAAACGCAGGGAGATTGTGCACAGCCATTGCCAGAGAGAGAGAGAGGAGGCGGCGGCGGCGAGGAGGATTGAGTACAGTAGGCAAGCAGTGGTGGTAGAAACGTGCAAAATGGTTGGGAAAAGGTACCGTCTCATATACCTATGGTAAACCGACCCTTTTTGCAAGACAGTAAAAGAGGATTTCACAAAAAGCAAAAGCTGAACATTCTTAACTCGTTTAATACTAGAATATTCCCCCGCACAATCCGGTCTTCCAGGCCCTGTCTTGCGAGGGCACATGCCAATACCTTGGGATCGAGAATTAGAGCCACAATCGCAAAAACAATGCAACTCGCATCGTACCAGTGTCAGGGGCCACGCACACACCGGCGTTTCCCATGCCTTTAACTCGAAAGACCAATGCATCACAACGACGTCAGCGCGGCTATCTGGCCTGCTCGTCTCGAATCTTCCCGACTAGGCGAGCACATTGTTGGATGTTCGGTGTAGAGGATGGGAGGTGAGAGTGTTACAATAACAAACTCGGATTCCTTCCCACACCTCCCTGCTGGCTGCTTTTGGTAGATACTACATGCTTACAAGCATTCAGTATGCAGAGATCATGCGAGTGTACACGTCTGCAATGTCCAATCTTTAGAACGTCATAAGGGTATTTTTCGTTTTACCATTGCGCAACCGGGCAACATCACGATCTGATCTGCGGCAGGGCTTGGGGACGTGGGGTGGCCCATATTTCGTGCGCAAAAACCCCTTTCGCCGTTGACGACGTGAGGGGGAAGGCATTTGTCGATGTTGAAAGAGTGCTGATTGTTGAAACGTCGATGGCAGGCAGCATGCTAAAGTCGAACGAGGGCGGCTCGGCTTTACTTTATGGGATTCCTGGCCTATCCAATCAGCAATCTTCCACACATCCCCACCGCATTGGGCCCCACTTTTGGTGTGACCGACAGGATCGGGTACGATTGCCGGTTTCTTCAGACTGCAACGACACGAGAATATGGCCGATATCTGCTTCTAGTAATTTCCATGCTAATCCTGCCGGCTTCGCCTAGTCTCACCTATGACAGCTGTCCGCCATCTTCCGCGCCTGGGAACAGCCTTGTGCTCGCCTCGGTCTTGGACGATATTGCTCTTTGATTGACGGCAGAAGCTCCTTCGGCCCTTCTCGTCTCTCGCCTTGAGGGGCACAGCAGTCGACATAAGCCAAGCCATGCCTACGTACTACTAGTACTATACTTCTGGCTCGAGGCAGTAACGTCCGATATTCTCTCGTACAGGTAACAAGCAGTGCCGCCAGGACCCTGAAGGGACAAGCGCTTAATGCTAGTATACCGCCGTGGTGCACACCATCAATATTGGACAGTTGGCCTGGGTCTAGGCTGTCGCCGTAGATTGAACTGTAGACTCGACTGTGGACCTGTGGATCTCAAGAGCATATGAGCGCATTGCCGTCGGGACTGACGGCACAGGCTTTTATACTTATGCCAAGACTCCGGATCACGTTATATCACAATACCCCGAGTCTGCTTCGACGAGCCTATGCCAGTGTGCATGAGTGTCGGCAAGAAAAACGAACTTCTCGTCCATCTAGGCACAGCATACAGCAAGACCCGTTACACTGCGCAGGGACACAAACTCTCTCCTGCAACATCTCACACGAAACTTTGTCTAGTTGTGCGTGTACACTGCTTTAAGCTTTGTCCTGGGGTATACTCGAGTCGTGTTGGAGATGCATGGCCGACGTGGCACCAACATGTCCAAGAACCAATTGCGCAAAAGCAGTCGATAACTACGTTAGCTGCAAGACCCATGTTGACATGTGCAGGCGTTTCTGTCTCCCTCCTAAAAAGAGCAAGAAACACAAGTGCCGAACATTTGCCATAGTCATTCAGTTGCCCATCTTGTACGAGTCGAGTGGATTTTCATATTCCATAATGCCTGACCTATACGCGAGTCAATTTGATAGAAATAACCCATCCCATCCGTAAAACGCCAAGTTGCCGGCCCACCCCTCTCCCTACCAATACAATCCAACTCCTCTCTTCTCAGTTGTTCAACACACAAACGCATCCAGGCGCACGGTTTTCTTCCTTGTATCCAGAGGGGATTTATAAAAAAAATATAGAAGGAACGAACGGTGTGTCCAGCACCTTCAGGCCAAGTAAACTCAAAGTCTGACATTGGCACCAATCTTACCGCCCTTGAACCAAACATTTTCTCTCCACTCGCCAATTCGTACACCTACATAAGCAAATGCACTAAGTTTGAGCTGCCCCCCAAGTGCCTTTTTAATAGCATCGTAGCCCAGGCTACCAAAAGACCAGTCGACGGGCAAATGCGGAGACTCAGACAGACCCGGGGGTACGGCAAAAGGCAGGTCGTATAGGATCTTGCCAGCGACATGGCCATCGTGATAAGCTGTTGCGTTCATTTTGGTGATGTACAAGGTGGTGGAGCGGAATGGCGAAGCCAGAGTGAAAACTGCAGTGCTGCTGATGAGATGCATCGTGGTGCTGCGGATAAAATGCGATTTTCCATCGTCATCTGGGTCTTCATCCTCATCGCCATCAGACGGCTTCTTGGGAGTAGACAAGTGCGGCATAGGACGTTCAATGGGAAAGCGTGAGAGGAGACGGCCAATGTAGGGTGCGGCTGGCACAGATTGTTCATGTGCTTGGACGGTTATCGATGTGTTGAAGCCTGTTTTCGTATTAGTATGCTATGTGTGCCATGTTATGTTCATCTGGTCGTACCTGAGATGTACTGAGAGAGTAGCTCTGCGCCAATTTCTTTTCCTTTGTGGCCACCGTACTCATAGGGATCCCAATGAAGAGATACGAGATGGTTGGTATTGTTACCAGGAACCACCTCCATCTCCTTTACCGTTGCACTGCCAATGTGTGAGCCGTTAGCTAGGACGTTGATGTTGAAATAAGGGACTGTAGCCGAGTAGTTGGTAGGGTTAGTGAAATTGACCATGGCTGTGATGGTAAGAGAAGTTGGCGAAGTGTCGACAATTGCCATGTTGCCAACTTTGACATTGAGCGCACTCTCTTTGCCATCACCATGACCGGGCTCACTGTCGTTGCCATGACGGATTGCTGGACACAAAACGTTAGCTTGTTGGAGAAAAAACAGTCAAACGTGGATTACGAACTGGCTACGAACGTTTGACTGGTACGACTCCTTGCGCTGGAATGCCTCGCACGGCAAGTTTACCCATAGGTGTGTCCACACCAACACTGACGGCTGCCTTGAGATCCATCAAGACAGACTTGCCGCCAAAGAGAAGAGCCTGTACAACCTCGCTAAACAGATCGTCATCTACAATTTTGATGGGTGCGTCTTTGATGACGGACTGAACTAGGAGAGAAGGTCCTTCGGGGCCATGGCCCTCGACGCGTGTCGAGTTTGCCTTTTGCCATTTTTCAAGGTTCAGCTTTCCAAGTATCTTCTTGTGGTAGAAAATGTCGGCGTCGGCCTTGACTTGAGTAACATCAATAGGGAAGTTCATCTCGTTGGGTAAGCCAATGTCGACGTTGACGATGCCGGAAATCTTAGGCGCAGCCTCGGGTGTGTCCGGCTCAGCGAACGGGTTGGGCAGACTGAAATGCATATCTGCAAGAGAAAAGTTTTTGATTAGGTTGCCCATGGATTTGCCGGCGAATGGTATAGGCACAATGATGTCTTTCAAAAGATCACGAGCCCAATCGGGTGCGGCTGGGTCTGGGAACTTGCAGCAGTTGATGTAGATGGTCGCATCCTCGCCCTTCATGTAGTCGCCCAGGAAAGTATCGAGCGGTGATTTGGCGGTGTTGGGACATACTTCGGTCACGAGATTGGAGATTTTCTCGGCATTGCCCTTGACATAGACCTTGACATCTGAATTTGGCTTGACGTGGAGCTGGCCGGTCTGGGCAGTTCCGACCATGAGAAATGTGTCAGTCGAGCAGCCCTGAATGCCCACGTCGACAGCCACGGATGGGAGCGTAATGTCAACAGGAAAGTCGTTTTCAACGACTATAGTTGCATCTGCAGCGAGACCCTTGCGGCCATGCTTGGCCTCGCCGAGGTTGAGCTTTGTGATGTTGTAATGTGGAAGGGCGGGGATGTCGCCACCCTGGAAGACTACAGATTGCTCAACAAGCTGCTTGCCAATGTGGATCAAACCTGACTTGAGCGGGACCAGTGCCTTTGCCTTGAGCCGTATCTGTCCCAGCCGGCCATCAATCCAGTCTTCGGCAACGTTGCGAATGCCGTCAAGAGATCCTGGCTGCACAGTGGCATCCAAAGCTACATGTGTGGTGTGTCCGTTCCTGATATCCACCTTGACGCCCGGAATCTTGGCGGTGCCAACCAGAACGTTGCCAAACTCGGGCAGGTAGACTTCAGCGTCGAAGGGGCCCGTCTCGGCCTCATGGGCAACCCATGTGCCGAAGCGGCCGAGGTTGCGCACGCTCTGCTTCTTGACCTTTGACGCGTCCATGGTAAAGTCTCCTTGGATGTGGATCTTTGCGCCATGGCTGGTCAAGCCGTCCATGGAGAGCTTGGTAGGCTTGAAGGTAGCAGCCTGCATCGAGTACTCCTCGATGCTCTCTTTAACAAGAAAGCCGAGCATGATGAAGATGACGAGCAGACAGAGGATGATGAGGGCCAGTATGCTCGGCCAGCGCTTCTTCCACAGCGAGCCTTTGGCGTTACCGCCCCTGTCGGAGCCGCATAGTGACTGGCGCAGTGAGCGCGTCGCCGGCGTGGCCTCGTCGCAGTCTTCGTCATGGTCGTCGTGGTCATCGTGGTCATCGTCTACGTCTTGCTGGGACAGCAGGGGTGTCTCTTCGGTGGTCCTGCTCGACTGCTGCGAGCGGACTGATCGTGCTGATCGTGCTGAGCGTGACGAGCGGGCAGACCTGCGTGAAGCGGGTCGCGAACTGGGGGTGCGAGTGTTGGCATCGGTGGTAATGGTGTTATCGTTGTTATCGTTGTTGTTGTTGGAGTTGGAGCCCCACGCCTCGTCGGGGTTCTCCATCTTCAGCCGTAGGGGAGTCCAGGCGAGAGCCATGTTGGGCAGAGGGTGGACGGAGAGAGAGATGTCGAGTCCACGTTCAAGTCCAAGGGCCGGGACGAGATGGTGTTCATGGTCTCGTCATCATCTACTCAGCCACACGCGCCCACATCCACACACAGCGCAGCAAGGTGGCGGGCCGACGTGTGCCTGTATGCCGCGCCCGCTAGCCCCTTCTGACCCCAGCATTTCTGGTCATCCCCACTGTCATGCGTCAGAATGTTAGCGTCTTCAAACATTATATCGGTCCTCTGGTGTAATGGGCCTTCTGTGACTCTTACGCTGCAATTGCGCGCTTTAAAATCCCTGGACCGCCTGCTCTGACTTCCTGCACTGCAATTGACACATTATGCCCGCTTTCCGCCCTTCCACCGCGGCTCTGCGAAGCTTGCGCCGCTGCTACTCGTCGTCCTCGCCAGCCACGCCTCCTACATCGCCCTTTGCGCCGCGACATCTTCTCTCCATAGCTGATCTCACTCCTGCTGAGCTTACTACGCTTGTTCAAAATGCGCAGCGCCACAAGACTACCATCAAACAGACAGGAGAGGTCCCCCACTCTATGCGTGGGGCACTGGCTGGCCGCACCGTTGCCATGACTTTCAGCAAGCGGAGCACGCGCACCAGGATATCAACAGAAGGCGCCATTGCAGCATTTGGCGGCTCGCCCATGTTCCTTGGAAAAGACGATATACAGCTGGGTGTATGGCCTGCCTGCCAAACCCGCAATTCCCCCCATGTCCGCTAACGTCAACATGACTAGGTCAACGAATCTCTCTACGACACTTCCCTCGTCCTCTCCAGCATGACTGCCGCCATTGTCGCCCGCGTGGGCCCCCACTCCGACGTTGCAAACCTCGCAAAGCACTCGAGCGTGCCTGTCATCAACGCTCTCTCCGACCTCTACCATCCCCTCCAAATCATCGCCGACATGCTTACCGTTTCCGAAATCTACCCCTCGACATCTGTCACTTCGCTCGGTCTCGAGGGCCTCAAGATTGCATGGATAGGCGACGCAAACAACGTCTTGTTTGACATGGCCATTGGTGCTACAAAGCTGGGCATCGACATGGCTGTCGCAACACCACCAGGCTACGAGATCCCCCAGTCTATGCGCGAGGTCATCTCCCATGCCGCGCAAACCTCTCCTCGTGCAGGAAAGCTCTTGGAAACAAATACACCCGAGGAAGCCATCAAGAATGCAGACATCCTCGTGACAGACACTTGGGTATCCATGGGCCAGGAAGAAGAAACAGCAAAGCGTCTCAAGGCGTTCGAAGGCTTCCAAATCACGTCGGATCTTGCCAAACGTGGTGGCGCAAAAGACAACTGGAGCTTCATGCACTGCCTGCCTCGTCACCCAGAGGAGGTTGCTGACGAAGTCTTTTATGGACCGAGGAGTGTCGTGTTCAAGGAGGCGGAGAACAGGCTGTGGAGCGCCATTAGTGCGCTTGAGGCGTTTGTAGTCAACAAGGGCGAGATCCAGTGACTAGATCCTTGGTTCGAATGACTGAAACATGTTGTATGATTTTACGAATCAAAAAAATAGTTGTATCTTTATCTTAGAAACATTAGCAAGCAAGACCCATCTAATCCTCTACACGTCTTCGTTCTTGTTCTTGGCCTTGTCTTCTACGCCCTCATCCACCTTCTCCTTGACCTTCTCTCCCAACCCCTCTACCCCCTTCCCCCAAGCTCCAGCTTTCTTCCCCCACCTCACCATCCCCCACGCATGTGTCCAGCTAAATTTTGGTGGCGCATCAGGATGCACTCGGAACGGACTAGCCCCATGCTTAAACATATCCTCCATCTCCCTCTGCCTATCCTTCTCACGCTCTTCTGCAGACAGGACCTTGGTATTCGGCGGTAAGGTACTCGATGTAGGCGCAGCAGGAGAAGTAGCAGATGACGAAACGCGACGTTCCCAATGCCGATTTTCCAGCGGAAGAGGGCGCCACCAATCTACCGCTTCGACATCAGCAGCACGATCCCACCATTTCCCCGAGCACATTTCGTAAATCCGGCTTTCAGCTCTCTTAACCGCGAATTTCTCGTCTTCACCCGTTAGCCCCCCTATGTTCGCAAAGTCGGGGGATCCAGGGCCCAAGCGGCGCTCATCCGTGTACGAAGAATCTTGTCTGCGCATGCGGTTTGGCGGGTCATCTTCGAGCGCGTCGCCAGACAGCATTTTATGACTAGAGCCAGCATAAGACGAGATGTTGGGCCGAAAGGGAGAGTTGAGATCTTGGTAGATTTCAGAGTAGGTTTCGGGGTGAACTGCGTCGGTGTCTTGCGTTTCTCCGTCTGTTGCCGAGGAGGAAGGTGGACTTGCGGGAAAGAATATCTTGTCTGGGGCTGCAGCGGCGGTAATCATTAGTCTGCAACGGGCTTCGTACATGGCGTCGAGCAAGGTGATGAGGCGTCTAGCTTCGCTTTTCATGAGTAGTCCCATGATGGGTACGTCAGTGACGATGAAGGTATGGTATGTGGAGGCGAGCGTAATGTAGTCGGCGGGACCGAGCACGGCACCGCATAGCTCAGCAAAGGTGAAGAAGGCTACACCGTTGCACTGTGCGGGAACATGGAGAGCGCGGTTGTATACAGTCAAGGTGGCGGGAGCCCAGGGAATCGGGTATTCGTGGCGTGTTGCCTGTTCAACCAGGGAGTTGAAAGCTTCGCCGAATTCGATCATGGTTCCTGCAGTTTGGGGCTGGATGAGGTAGTTCTTTGGTAGAAAGGATGCAGTCTCGGTCGATGCAAAATCCTCTGCAGTACTCGTTGCGCCAGTAGCAGTCAAAGTCGTGGCCGAATCAATAGCATCTAGAGTCTCGGACATGGAAACTTGTACGCTGTCCCTCCACTCAGAAGTCGCCTTTGCGTCTTCCAATTCCAGCTTTCGATAATCCTTCTTCCCTTCCATTTCCCATACCTCGCACCTCGCTCTTAGCAGTTCTAGGAACGCCGAAAACTCGCCCGGTTGCCCCGCTCCATCATCTCTCCTTATGTACGAACTCTTAGTCAAGCCCCAGCCTAGTCGACTAAGACGGTGCACTGGTCGTGAAAACTCCATTCCTGCGGCTTTGGCAAGCTCTTCTGGCATGCGGTTGCTCGTTGCGATGAGGACGCCGCCGAGCTGGAAGAAAGAGGTCATGAGGTTAGACAGAATCTTGCTCGCGGCACGGTCTGGAAGTTGAAATTCGTCTAGGAAGAGAATCGGCGACTTCTCAATCAGATCTCGTGCAACGAGAAGCAACGAATACTCGTCGTTAGGTGCCCCTGGACCGGCTACTAATGACCTAGATATTCGAAGCTGCTCAAGTCGGGAAATGGTATCGAGCATGAAAGTATTAAAATGCCAGCGCCGCTTCTTGCGATTGGGCAGGCAATCTTGAAACAAGTCGACAACTAAAGAAGAGATGAGCCTTCAAATCTACAAGATGCTTTCTCAGGCCTTACGCATTGATTTGCCAGTTCCCACTTCACCGTGCAGCATGAGGCCTTTGGGGCTCTGTAACTGCATTGCCTCATCATGGCTTGTTAGAACACGAGTCAAAGCTAATGAATCTCTCTTCTCTTTCTCGGCAAGTAGCGATGTCCATACGCCCCTTCTGCCAAAGCGATTGGCGTACGTATCTGTTGGGGCTGCTGCTGCTGCATTTTGATCCGAACCAACTGCACGAGAAAGTTGCTGCAGTCGTTTCGAATACTCTACAGTCGGTTCATAGTCAATCAGTCGATCATAGACTTTCTGCAAGTGCAAGGCTAATGGTCACAGTTAGTACATGTACAATGTCCTTGGCGGATCCAGAATGGTAGACGTCATACCAAGGCGATGCTGAGCGGGATCAGGTCGGATCTTCTGCGTAGCAACGAGACTGCGATATAGCACCAAGGGGTTGGTGATCGCAACACCGGTGGACGACATTGGTAGTCATTGGTTTGAAGAAGAACTTGTGTCGTATCATCCTGAAGACGACATCAAATGGCCGAGGTGATCCGCTCTCACATTGGACTAGACTGCAATCGGCGCTAGCGCTTTTGGGAAGTACCGATACATGGACTGGTCGCAACGTTGGACAAGGGACATGGAAAAGATCAATCCACAAACAAAGGAATAGGATCAAAGTGGGTTGATTCTAAACGCCTGTAAATGGAATGTGGTATCATAGTAACCCCAAGTAGAAATTGCTTAAATACTCGTAACACCGGGAGACCATGCATCAGCAATCCGTTTGACTTCTTGAATAAACTTGCGGCTTGTGATCTGAGTTGAGCCAATCCTTTGCTCAGAATTGGCAGTGATTGGAGAATGTTCATCAGGGTCGTAGAACCTAGGTGTTGCTGTTAGCGGTCGCAACCCATCAGCCGCCCCGCATCTTCACTTACGGATTCCTGAGCAGCTTTATGTACGCCGTCTGTAATGCTCTAAATGCCTAAAGAAGATCAGAAACGCATTTAATGGCAAGGTATAGAGCTTACAGGTTTCATGTCCGCATCTCGCAGCCCAACAGCAGCCGCAGACCTGTTATCGAGAGGATTGGCTGGTTTTCCCTCCATATCCACGACAATGATGAATTTGATGCCAGTGTTGGTGAGCCAGCCATACATAGCTAATCTCTCATCGACAGCTTGTAGAAGGCCAAAATCCTGGTCTGCTGTCTTGTGTGGCAGACGAGCCTCAAAGATGTCTAAACATGAAGAAAGGAGAAACTGGAACTCTAGCGGTGCACGTTCTTCTGCTGGAAAGAGTGAGATGTGCAGTGGGTTGTTCTTTGCCAACAGTTAGTATAGGAACAGGTCAGGAGTATGTAAATGATGAGGTACTCACGTGCTTGCCGACAACGCCAATGCAAGCAATGGACGGGACCTAGACACAGTCAACACATACTCTGAGCCCTGACCGCATCAACCACCTACCCGGCCTGACATATTTTATGCGATATCAAAAGACTACAGCAGTCTTCAAGCACCCTGGACGTGGATGCGGAGTAGTCTGGCCGAAGTAGTCCGAAAGGGTGTTGGCGAAGGAGTGATCGTTGGCCGGCCTATCAGACGGCGCCAAAACCGACGACTAATCGATTTCCGCCAAGCATTTTGATGCACCTACCTCATCGATCAACTTCGCGACTCCCTCAACCGCCACCCCACATCTCGCCTCTCCACTCCTTCGTCCACGCCTTTCCTTGCTGTCCTTCGCAAACATGCTTTCGACGACAAGGTCTGCTGCCTCAATGGCTCTGCGAGGTTAGTCGCCGCACACCCGAAAAAGCTCCCGGTCCCGCCAAACTGACTCCATGGACAGCCAAACCAGCGACGGCCTTGATGCCATTCCGCGCCGGAAGCGTAGCCTTTTTGTCTTCGAGCTCGTCCAACAAGGCGACGACTATGAAGTCGCCTGCCACCATTCCCGGAAACCCTGGAACACCACCACCAATGAAGTCAGCGCGGGTTGAGGTGCCCTTGCCAAGTCAGGAGGGAAAGAAGGGTGCTGTGCAATATGCATTGTATGTGGTTTCTCTCTGGATTACTCTTGAATATTTAGATGGGTGGCAAAAAGTGCAGTAAAGGGCATGAATTGACTTGCGTCAACAGGACAACACTTGACCAGGTAGCCAACTGGGCCCGTCAGAGCTCGCTCTGGCCCATGACTTTCGGTCTCGCATGCTGCGCCGTCGAGATGATGCACTTGTCTACTCCACGATACGACCAGGATCGTCTCGGTATCATTTTCCGTGCCTCCCCGCGACAATCCGACGTCATGATTGTAGCCGGAACCCTCACAAACAAGATGGCACCCGCGCTGCGACAGGTCTATGACCAGATGCCCGACCCCCGATGGGTCATTTCCATGGGCAGCTGCGCAAATGGAGGAGGATACTACCACTACAGCTACTCAGTCACAAGAGGATGCGACCGTGTTGTACCTGTAGATATCTACGTACCTGGCTGCCCGCCCACCGCTGAGGCGCTCATGTACGGTATCTTTCAGCTGCAGAAGAAGATGAGGCATACCAAGATCACCAGGATGTGGTACAGGAAGTAAAGTGTGGCTGGTTTGGCGTGGTCTATTTTGCAGTCTTTGTACATGCGAGTTTGGGGTATACATCCCTTCTGTATAAATCGATATTCTATATGCATTGCGTACACCGAATCGATCCCATTTATGGTGGCATTTTGGTATTACACCGCTTCACCTAACCCAAACATATTGACTGAATTCTTCCAAGCACTACACTATCATTAGTCACTCCTCCTGTGCACGAGGGATACAACAAGTACTTACGCATTACAAACCTCCTCCACGCTGATTTCCTTAATCTTGGCAATGGCATACGCGACATGTGGAATTGTAGCAGGCTCATTTCGCCCTTTTACCATCATACCTTTGGCCCACTTCTCCTTCTTGACTGCCTTTGGTAAAGGCGGGGCGTCTTTGAGGAACTTGGCTGATGCGTGACTGGGACGCATCTCGCACCATGGCCCATCTGTTTCAATCTGCAGACGCTCGAGCGGTATCAGCTTTACGACTGCAATGTTCTCATCCGCTAAGTGGAAACGTTCGTCAGTATTTGTAGAAATATCAAAACAGAAGATGGCAGAGACACATACTCTTCATACTGCAGCCATTAATACCAATATCAAAGCCTAGATCCACGAGGCGCTGCATCTCTTCTGCAGTTCCAGTAAAGCTGTGTACGAGACCCCTCTTGGGTAGCTGATCAAGCTTCGCAGTCAATAACCTCTCGAAGTCCTCACTCGCAGCACGCGAATGTAGGAAGAGCGGTAACTGCACTTCAACCGCGATCTCCAGTTGCGCCTCAAAGTACTTGAGTTGTGGCTCCTTTGCCGTCAGAAATAATCGGTCGTAATCGAGGCCTATCTCTCCAAAAGCAACTACGTGACCTGCTTCCTTGGCTTCAATAGCCAGGGTCTTGAGCGCAAAGAGAAGCTCTGATGCACCACCGGGATGCTTGTCAAAATGTTTTGCCGAGCAAGGATGTACGCCTACAGTAGCATAGCAAAGCCCTGGGTGAGCTTTTGCTATCTCAATAGCGTGCTTCGATTCTTCGAGATCAGATCCTGTTACCATAAACTTCTTGCAGCCAGCATCGACCGCTCTCTGGAGAACATCTTCAAAATCATTTTCGTGACGTTGGGTGCCGTGGTATTCACCCCTGAAGATGGGGTCGGTGAAGTTGATACCGATCTAGATTTCGTGGTGAGAAGTTTGGCGGGGTAGAGGCGTGAAATGTGGACTAACATCAATGTACTTTAGTTGTGTCGAAGCAGCCATTTTGTTGTATTGCCGATGTGATTTTAGAGGGAAAGGATAATTGTCTAATTAGAATGTTAACTGAGAAAATTAGATGTTGAAGCGTGTTAAAATGACGCACTTGAAAAGTTGTTCGACAGCTTTATACTGCTCGGGATTAGACGTATCTGTGTCGATTGAGTTGTATCTCTAAACAGTTTTCGTAGACCATATACCCGTATAGTCATCGAAAACACGAGTCAAAAAAACTGTTGGAGAGGAGAATGATGAATGGTCACAGTTGCCAGCAATATATAAGACTAATCCGTTCTAAGCCTAGTTTGAATGTTTGCATCTCCCAATCTTACTCGGCCACTTCATCACCACCGAGCATCTCTACGCACATGCAATAACCATAGCAAGACATTACGCTTATGTATGAGTGAACTTTATATCTTCATAACACTCGAATAACGGAAGAAATTTAGCCTGAGTCAGTATCGCAGGCATCGATATCCGCCTCATACGACCCAAGGGGTTGGTTTACTTGTACACTGTATACTTCCGGTACCCTGAACAACTTACAAGGCGAGTATTTCTAAATTGAACAATCTAATGGAGAATGTGTGGCATCTCCGCCGCGTCGCGGACAATGCCGCCAAAGCTTGTTGGATATGCTACAAGCCATCCACGAGTGTCCTGATTACGCCTTCCAATAAGGTGCGTTTTGACTCTGAAAAAGAGATCTAGGTGCTCATATTAATTCAGGACTTTTTCTACATCTGTGCTGGACACTTGACTGATCGAGGGTTCTGTCAGCCAGAGGCTGAGGAGGCAAAGAGGGTTGCGGATCAGAAAAAGCAAGAAGAGTTGGATCACGAGATCGAAGCGGTTAAGAAGGAGTATGAACAGAAGCAGCAACTCAAACGTGAAAAGAGAAAATCAAAGGACAAAGAAAGGGATAAGGAGAAAGAGAAGGAAGAAAAGGCCAAGGAAGATGACGAAGACAAGCAGGACGAGAAAGCCAAAGACGACAAGGCCAGTATGATCAAGAAATCTCAACTCCCTGTACTAACTGCCAATAAAGATCAAAGAGCTCTCAAAGACAAAAGAGAAGACTCAAGCCGACCTCGGTCCTCGTGTATTCCAACTAAACAAGTACGCATGTCTCGGGCCACTTTCCCCATTATACTGACGTTACACAGAAGCTTCTACCAAATGAGGTTGGACAAACTCCGAAATGCTGAAATCGCCAAAAGAAATCGCGAACGGCTGAACGACCCTAAAAATTTCCCGTCGGTACCTAGTGGTAACCCTTAGTCGCGTGTCATGGTCAGTCACATTGGGGATAACAGCAATACATCAGCTATCAGCTGTGTTTTATCTGTATAGAATCCTTCTCGTATTTATGGTTCATAGGTGGGGGAGAGTACATCCAGCGGACTTTGGGAGGGCTGACTGCTGCCAGTCATCGATCCTTCGCATACGATGCGGTCAGCAATTAGTGGCTGTACAGAATGCTATGCTTACTTAAATTCACACGTGTCGTGCATATGAACTGTTTTGGTCTACCGTTTATCTGGATTGTGGGTGCTTGAACGTCTGCTGACGGAATAGTTCGTGGTCATTCCGGAGTCATAGAGCTTCGTATCCACCAAGAATGACATCGCTCTTTGCATGTATTTCGGAGCTGATCTATCGATCCAAGTTAACAGAAATATTCTCGTAAAACTTAAAATTCAGGCGTCATGTTATGCGGGCAAACATGATATGTATAACTCGTCTATCCTATCGTTGCTGACCAGGTGGCTGATAGCAACTGCTCCCTTATATACGGTACTTAATCGCGCGCTAGAGTAGTAGATGGATCTGGAAACATACCGTTCTCGAGACTTTCTGCATTGATGAAATCTAAACTGCGATTCGCTGATTTCATCTTTAATCATTGCCTGAATCCCATGCGCTTGACGCGGTAGCCATGCGTCTGCCCTCATCGAACTGCACCAATCATACAACATCGAATCTTGTTATACATATGCAAGTCCCCACTCTTCGCAAGTCCTAACGCGAGCTGCAAGATCATATACCACTCCAGTTGGTGATGCTTTGTGATTCGGCCATTGAAGCTACTATTCGTAGGGCTAAGATGATGTTGCATACTAGCCATGTACGAACAAATAGTTACTCACCATCCAGCCCACTTGCATTCCTGCGTACATTAATACCACAATTGCCGAGTTACGGAATATATATTTGCTCCTAGTATTGTCCATTTCCATGTGATCGGTAGTTGATGCGCCTCTTGGCAGTTCCCAGCCCGGGGAGACTTCTCTAATAGACGCATAGTGTTAGGCATGACGCAGTAGCTGCAAAGACACGTAAGTACACATCCTCAGATGGACCACCTTTTGGATACTACCCATGCTCCATGGTAACATCTGGTTACGGCGGCTTCCACAGGCGCAAGGTGCTATCCTTGGGCGCCATCCACTGATACTATTCTCATGACACAAACTATTAGGAAAGCAGGGCCGCTCATGAACCGAAGTCATGATCGACCAGTCAACCCTACGTATGCGTCACCTTGCATGTCATTCCAAGCCATGCTTCAGCTGTCTGCCGTTTTTCGAAGATTGACGCTGATGCAACAACACAGCCCTTCTCCGCAGCTGAAATCGGACTACCGTATCTTGAACGCGCATACTTGAGCTGATGATGGTCAGCCGGTTGCGCGGTATGATTAAAACTATGATATGAAAAAGCTTATCTGCCATGACGAACGCAAGGCAAACATGATGGGCTTCCGTTAGAACATCCAGCGGGTCAGCATCGTCCCGCGCGGGCTTACTATTACATAGTAAGACACCACATCATTCGATGCATCATACACAGCGTGCGGGTTCTTACCGTTCCATTTCCGTACGGCCAAAGAAGTAGTTGATAAATCGTGCATATGGTACTGGCCCAACCAGCCCTATCGGAAGAAAGGATGGTTGGGCCTTGCCACCTTCCCAAAAAAAGCATGTACATGACAAGACACCAGAAAATGCATATCTGTGGCACCCAGCCTTACCATAGGGCGAACGTAAAAAAAAGGCGCAGATGGATCCCTTGTCGGAGTGGCCGGTTCTCCACTCTTTTTTGACCCGCTTATCAGGCGTCCAAGGGACGCTGCAACTTTCTGCATATACCGTGTCTGCCGTCAGCCATAACGCGGTGAGCCTGGTTTTGGGGACGAACAAGATGCGACAGGAATGTCACTGATATTCTGTTCCCTGTTTGTAAATGCACTATGAGGAGCCGTCCCAATTGGACTGACTCTATTCTCCGACTTTCGAGTCATGTTTGTATTCAACAAGGCTGTCTTACCATCCTCGCTTGTGCCATATTGCTGTACGTATAGATTGACGTAATTAAAGATATGAGAACCTCGTCCCTCCAAGTTCAGGATCCATGGATGTGGAGACTTATGATAAGTGTTATTGCGGTTGGCATGGGGGGAAATGAAGAAGAAAGTGTACTTGCGTTGTCAGACGGGCATTTTGCGACTCGAGAACACTGGGCCCGCGCATATGCGAACACATGGGACGGCACGTCGCCCACAACACTGAACTACTATGGGCACATAGTAACCAGGATAATCAATGTGTAAGTTTGCTCCTTCAGCTGGTACATCTTGATCCAGATCTGGTCAAGTGATGTCGAGCCATTATGGCGCAAGTACGGGGCGAGGAGTACGCTTTCGCAATGCGTCGGGCTTATTCGAGCGATACCAGGTCGTGAGACTCTTG